GTGGGTGGGGGTGGAGTGGGAGGCTCCCCACTTCCACCCCGCCACAGCCCGGACGCCAGCTCAGAACCTGCTCCTGCCACCCGCAGATCGAGAGTCTGTGTCCGGGGAGGCGACCTCAAGTAACTGCTCCGGGAAGACCAGTGCCCGCGGCCTACGGAAACTGGGTCCTGCGGCAGGCAGGCACGGGACGGCCTCCGATGGGCGGCGAGTTAGGACGGAGAGCAGCAGAGAGTCGTGGGATGGGAAAAGGACGGGCAGGAGGGGAAACTGGGAGGTCAGCAGATGAAGGAGACGCCGAGCTAGGGGCAAGGCGGGGCTGAGAGTCTGGTCTCTAGTAGGAGTGCCTGGGCCCTGGGGAACTGGGCAGTTCAGGTGGAGTAGGGAAGAGCAGGGATCGGTGGGTGCGGGCTGCTGGGTCCCAACCTTGGAAAGACCTGACGACCCCAAACCATGTCCCTAGAGACCGGCCCCCTTCCATTCCACCTTCTGAGGCAGGGCACACTTGGAAGGTGGGGTCAGTCCGGCCGGCGCGGGGGTGAGGACTTTTCCCCGAAGGTTCGGCAGGAGGCTTTTCCTCTTTCTGCAGAAAATCGTTTTGTTCTTAATTTCCTTCGCCCAGTCCCTCCAGCGAAGCCTCCCAGCGCCGGAGCGTCCAAGGCGGGCTGCTCTGGGGCTGGGCCGCGTTGCAGTTCGCGCTGATTGTGTGTCACAGAAACGTGTCCCCGCGCGCAGCGGCGGGCCCGGCCAGAGTCCGGCGGTGTGGCTGGTGGGCTCCGGGGCCGGCTCGGGCGAAGCCGGGGCGAGCTGGGTCGGTCCCTTCTCCCAGCGCCGCGCAGTCCAGGCAGGCGGGGAGGGGCGGCGGGCGGGGTTTGGGGCGGTGGGCCCGGGCCTGAGGGTCCCGCCTGCGGCTCCACCCGTCCTGTCCGGCCTTCGACGGGGTGACGTGAAGGGCTGCCGGGGTCCTGGGATGGGGGTGGGGCTGGGGCGGTGGCCTGGAGGCTCCGCGTCGCGTCGGTCCTCCCTCCCTCCGGGGTGGGCGGTCAGACCGGGACGATGTGGAGGCCGAAGCTGTCGGCCTGAAGCTTGATGTGGTCCCCGCGGTAACTAGTGGCGGTCATAGGCAGCGGCAGCAGCGGCAGGGGCGGAGCCCCGGGGGGCGGCACTATAATAATAAGGGGAACCTGGAAGTTAACACAGGAGAAGAATGGGCTGGGTGAGAGGACAAACAGGAGAACAAAAAAGGAAAGAAAAGCAAAGAACTCCCAGGGCTGGGGTCTGGCGGAATCCGGGCAGGGAGACCTTGGCTGGGCTGCGGGGGCCGGTTGCCCCCAGCAGAGCCTCATTCATCGGGTGGGAGAGGGCCCGATAGGTGACTGCTGCCACCCAACTGCGAACCTTTCAGGGGGGCCGAGGGTGGGAGCGGCGCAGAGCCTTCCAGCGACCGGGGAGGAATAGGGGGGTAGGCAAGGGGCGAGAGGCGCGGGCGTCCTCAAGGGATCCCGGGGCCTCAGTGCTGCACTAACGAGCCTGCCCGGCCCGGCATCCGAAGGTCGGGTCTCGGGGAGTCGGACCCGTGTCCGGAAGCAGCACGGCCGAGCTGGCCGGCGGGCGGACGCGCTGAGCCGCCGGCCAGCCAGGTGGCGTACTCACTTAGTAAGGCGGGGTTGCTGAATCTCCAAGCCTCGTTGTAGGCCGTGTACTGGGGGTGGCTGTACGGGTTGCCGGAGAACTCGCTCCCTGTGGGATGGTGGGGGAGCGGAGATCAGACACGCACAACGCCAGGGCGGACCCGAAGTGCCCAGCCAGCGGCCTCCCCCCGGTCCGAGGTGCAGGTGCGGCGGGCAGGGCAATGCCCGCTGCGGGCGTGCGGGCCGGGCGGAGGCAGAGCAATCTACCGGGTCCGCCTGGGGAGAGCCCGTGTTGGGAGGAGGGGAGTGCAGAAGCACCGACGCGCCTCGCACACGGGCGTGGAGGGACCTGCCGGGCAGTGCTCGCCCGGGGCTCCCCCGCGGAGGCGCTCCAGGCCACCCAGGAAAGGTCTGTTCCTTGTCCAGGCGCTCCTACCCGCGCTGCGCTGGGGGCCCGTGGAGTGGAAGCGGGGGAGGGTGGCAAAGAAAGGCCCTCGGGACACTTTGTCCCACAAAGTCCTAAGAATGGCATCTCAGCACGGTGCCAAGGCAAGGGGTGGGGGCTCCGCTGGGAAACACCTCCCTCCCGCCTTTCCTTAGAGAGCTTAGATACGTGGGCCACGCAGCAGGGGAGGGAGGCGGCGGGAAGCAGGTGGACTGCCCGCCGGTCCGCAAGTGGTGAGCGGAGGGCCCCGTGGGCTTGGAGGCGTCGGAAGCTGCTTTCCTCCCTCTGCGCAAGAAAGGCCAGGCCTCCAGGTTTCCCCCTCGCCCTTTCTCCTGTGTGATGACCCTAGACTGTTTACAGTGATCCCTAACCGCGGGTTAAGTAGAGGAGAAGGGGCCCCTCTCGGAGAAGGAGCTGGGGTGGGGGTGGGGGATGCAGCCACTGGAAAGCCTGTTTATTGACGAGGAGGGAAAGCATGCGTGCAGCAGGATAATGAGCTTCTGAGCTCAACTGTGACCAAGAGGAACTGAGCTATCTCCTTCCCCATCGCTAATGAAACAAGTGTAATTTCCTCATCAGCACTAGATTCTGTTTAACGACTCCCCCCTTGCCACCATGAGCTCTGTGCGCTCCCCTCATCCCCACCTCCTTGCAGACTGCCCCCCCCATTCCGCACCTCTCACCCCCCTGTCTTTAAGACCTTCCCTAGCCTCCACCTGCTCATGCTAGGACCTTCCCTGAAGAATCTCTTTGCCCCTAACACTTCTACTCCCCCATCGCAAATCCAGGCAAGAATCCCTACCCCCACCTCCCAGCTCTCCTTACCCAGTTCCCCTAACTCCCTTCACAGCCCCTATTCTACAACACCCTACAGCAATCTTCCTCTTTGCCATGCCCCGCCCCCCAAGCTCTGCTTACCCAGGGCTGTCCCTGGATGGTGGGTCCCAGAATGGGGCCAGTTACCCTCTTCTATCCACCCCCCATACCCCCCACCCCACGGAGAGTTGAGCTTCAGGGGAGGGGCACACAAGAGGGCAGCCAGTGGGAGTGTGTTGCAGGCCCAGTGAGTCTCACCCTTTTTAAGACAAGAGTTTTTTTCGTGTTTATGCAAATAGGAGCTTCAACTCTCTTTGACTTCAAGCCCAGCTCCTAACCTGGAGTGAGGAGTTGGGGAGAGCCCAACCTCCAGCTGCAGTCACCAGACCCTAAATACAGCCTCTGCCTCTCTGATCCACACAGCCCAGACCCAACTCCTCTCAGACAGGGGGTGGGTCAGAGCCCACAGGAGCAATGAGGGCCTGGGTTCCTCTGAGATGTCGGGGTGCTCTAGCTTGTCTCTCTGAAGCCAAAGTCTCTCTGGTTCCTGCCATAGCCTGTCTTCTGTTCCTTTTTCCTTAGGGACTAGCTCCCTCTTCTCCCTGGGGTGGGGTCCGTTCTTGACACTGATCTTCCCTGTGGATTGATGTAGACCAGGGTGGCTTTGTCTGAGTGACTGACAGGCCCCTAGAAATGGTTCTTGGCTCCAAGTTTCCATGGAAACCAGGGCAGGCTCTTCCAAGCAGTGTCAGCTGGCTGGGGGTGGTCTGGGGCACTGAGGGCAGAGCCAAGGCTGTATGCTCCCCAGGCTCAGGTGCGTGGGCACTGGGGAGGGGCTATGGGGGTGGTCTGGGGCACTGAGGGCAGAGCCAAGGCTGTATGCTCCCCAGGCTCAGGTGCGTGGGCACTGGGGAGGGGCTATGACATGCAGTAGGGTGCACACAAGGGGGGCTCTTCTGCAAGTTCCCTCCCTGGGTTGCTCATGAGAGAGGATGAGGGACCAACTGCAGCCTCAGGGAGAGAGAGGGATAGAAGACCAGTGGTTTAGGGGAGGGGATGTTGGGTCTCCCCCACCCCCAGCCTCAGACTACAGACCACTCAGCAGCTCACCCACAATTTAGTGACCACCACCTAAGTTAGGTAGCTGCAGCATTGTCACCTACCAGGCACCATTCCTGCCAGGGTGGAGGTGGGGTAGCTTCCCTGGCCAGTGGGGGGCACGTGAGGGGGGTAACCAGGCAGAGTGGTGCTCGCCATGTCACGACCTGGAAAAACACAAAGGGGAAGGGGTGAGGCCTGGAAGAGAGGGGCCTGCCTCTACTCACACCAGAGTACTCCATGGACAGGAAACTCTCAGAAAAGAAAGAACTGTGCAGACATGTGGGGGTACATCTGATTGAGCAGGTCCAGGTGTGCCTTTACATGTGTCTAAGCTTGTTACCTAAATGTCTGCCCTATGATCAGCTGGGTGTATGCACCTCTGCTCTGTGAGTAGCTCTGTGTCTCTCTCTCTGCATTTGTGTGTGTGTGTGTGTGTTTGCATTTGCTTGTGTCTCCCTGTAGCCCAAATGCAGCTGGAGATGGGAGGGCAATGACCTGGTTTTACTCCTCCTTCCCAGCAAGATATTCAGCTGTGGTCTCTCCAGTAGCCAATGGACCTCTATCATCTTGCTCACCTCTCCCCTCTCTAAAACCCAACTTTCCTTCACACTTGGAGGACACCCCACCACCACAAATACAGGGGCTGATGGGTATTCCTTGTCCTCTCTAAGTGGAGCTGCAGGTGCTGGGCCTGGCAGGTGTGGAGAGCAGGGGGCCAGCCAGTGGGCTATTTTGCTGTTAGTGTTTGTGGCATTTAAATGATAGAAAACCATCCCTGAAGCGAATCAGGAGCTTTGAGCCAACAGTGCAAGTGGATCAGATCAAGTTCCAAGAGCAAAACCTGCTCCCCCCACTAGCTGCTGGACTGCTGTCCCAGGAGGCATCTATTAGCTAGAGTCTGGGGGGTGGGAGACAGGGCTTTCCTTAGCAGTATCCTGGAGTGAAGGCAGAGCAAATCAATACTAGGGAGATACCCATGGTCCACAGATATAGCCTCTGGAGCACAGCTGCACCTGAGTGACCTCCCTTCCTTGCCTGCCCCCTCCATTGCCATGAAGGGGTCATCATCTCCCTTTGCAATTTAGTATGCTCCAATCTCTAATGACAATAAATTTGCCCTCTCCCCTCTCCCACACTTCCATGCCCTACAGACTACTTTATTCTCTCCCAGGTCTCCTGGATCTCATTTATCCTCTCCAGATTCACCTTATCCTCCTCTTCAGCCAGTGCCTCTCTCCCACTCTAGTGTCTCTGTCCAGCCCTGGGAAGGCAAGTTGTGGCTGGAGGAAGTCATAGAACCATGCGTATCTGGCCCAGTTTACTTGCTTTTCATCAGTTGCCCTAGTCCTCATCCTGCCGATGGCTATTCCAAAGCGCCCCTCTCTCTCTCCTTGCCACTCTCCCCTTGAAGGTAACCTTACCTCCTACTTTTCTGAGATGTGAGTTTCCTCACCCCTACCTTAACACATCTGAGTGATTCATCCTTCCCTAAGTAGACAGAGATACAGCTCAGGTTTTTGCATTTCCAGCTTCCTGCTGAACATTTTCATCAGCTGTCCCACTGTTAGCTCAAACCTGACAGGAATAAAAGCAGACTCATCTTTCCTCTTGAAGGGGCCCTCTGAAGACCATCAGACCAAACACTTTGGGATCCTTCTTGATATAGCCTTGTTCCTCCCCCTCTAGATGAAGTCAGTCACCAAGTGTTGTCAATTCTCCTTAGTGACGTCTGATACATCTGTCCCGTCTCCATTTCCTCCATCACCTCCTTAGCTCGGCTCCTGAGCACCTGCCCTTGGTTTCCCACAACAGTTATTTTGCTTGTATTCCCTGCTCCACATCCTTTCTCATCCTTTACATTTTGTCCCAGATTTTACCTCTTCAAAGGAGACCAACCTATATGAAACAATTCGAAAACAATATAACTCACCTGGAATTGGTTATAAGTGCAATAGAGTGATAGAGAATTAATCAACAAGTATTTATTGAGCATCTACCATGTTCTCAACTATGCAAGATAGAGCAGAAGACAGGGCCTTGCCTCAGTTTGTTTATGATCTGTCTGAGAAAGCAAGCCATAATATGAAACAACAGGGCTGATGCGTTATGAAGTATAATGACATGGTAAACCATGGAGCATGGCCGCTATAAAAGTTCCAAATGTGGCTGCTTGGCTAGTCCTCATGAAACATCGCTTTCATCACCACTTCCCTTGTGAAAGCCATTATTGATTCTCTGTAGGCTACAGTTTGAATCTGAACCCTGCCAGGCTTTCAAAGCCTCCCAGGCACCCTCCCCACCCAACTTTCTCAGCTCTGATTCTCACCCCTCCTGGTTTAGTCTGACTGTTTTCACCAGCTCATGTGCTGTGAAACTCCCGTACTTTTGTTATATAGTTTTTTTTCTTCTTCCTCCTCGTTTCCCTCTCAATCCAGCACAAGCCTTAAAATGCCAACCATTCTACTCATCAGAGAAGTTTCTCTCTTCTGAACTTTTATAGTGGCCACGCTCCATGGTTTACCATGTCCTTATACTTCATAACGCATCAGCCCTGTTGTTTCATATTATGGCTTGCTTTCTCAGACAGATCATAAACAAACTGAGGCAAGGCCCTCTCTTCTGCTCTATCTTGCACAGTTGAGAACGTAGTAGATGCTCAATAAATACTTGTTGATTAATTCTCTATCACTCTATTGCACTTATAACCAATTCCAGGTGAGTTATATTGTTTTCGAATTGTTTCATATAGGTTGGTCTCCTTTGAAGAGGTAAAATCTGGGATAAAATGTAAACATTGGAATCTGCTTTTTCTCTAAAAATAGTTTGCACAATGGATTATGAATTTTTATAGGATGATGAAAAATTTACAGTGAGGGACTCATATATTGTGACTCATCTTTATCATACGATAGAATGATCTTCCTCTATATGTATCTAATATGGTTAATATCTTACATTTCCTAAAGCTCAAGAACAAACAACAGAGTACAACTGTCAGATAAGAGATCATGTCAGACTCCCAGAGAGATAGAAGAAAGAATCTGTTTGCTTTGCTGTGGGTTTTCTTTCATTGACACTTCTATTGTCAATTAAAGGCACACTTCTCCTGACTGTCTCTCAGTGGAGTGGTCCTGAAGTGGAAAGGACAGCAATATCTATGAACTCCTGGAGAGAGTAATAATATGGCATTTACTGGTAAAAAAAAAAAGGCCCAAGACAGCAGAGAGTTAGGGAAGATGTAGAGGTTTTGAAATTAGAAACGTACAGAAACCCAATTCCTCCTGGTCCTGCGCTCTTAATGTCTACAAAGCAGCCAGGAAAAGAAGTATGCTTCTTTCTTAATCGAGATTTAAATGCATCTGAATTCTGATTTTCGGCTGCACGGTTCCTACAACATGTCACACATGAATTCCTTGTAATTTAAGGTTTTGTCACATAATCCCTACCTAGCTTCAGGAGAGAGGAAGAAAGGCTGGATGGATAAAAGGTGTTTCCAGCTAAGCTGGAGGCACCCTATGCAATGTTTACTTCCACTGGCTTTTTCTCTTGCAAAATGGTAAGGCCAACTTCCAGCATATAGAAGCTTTTGCATGCTGAAAGTCACCCACAGCACTGTTGATTAAAGGTGCATTTCCAAATTCTATTTAAAAAACTGAATCTGGGAAGTGCTATGCAGATAATTTTAAAATGCAAGAGAAGAGGCCTATGATGAGGAAAAACACGCGAGCTTCCTGATGTTCTGCATACAGCTGTGCTTCTGCTGCTGCAGATTCTGCAACATCAGTATCACCACAAAGAGGTGCCCATTCAGGACCCCTGAGTCAACAAAGATGCAAGCCACTGTATACAGAACACTCTCAATGGCTTCGTTAGTACACAGGTGACACCTGAAGAGCAGGATAAAATTGACCAAACTCTTGCCAGAGCCATATATTCTTCTGGAACACCATTGTCAATAATGGAAAACACATTCTGCAGGAAGTTTTCAAATTACTAAGACCGTCATACCATTTGCCCAGCAGCATTCTTTGAGCAAGCCTCTTTTAGTGAGAGAATATGAATGGGTAATGGAATCTGTGCAAGACCCAACAGAGCACTGGGCCTTGCAGTACCACAGACAGATGGACAAACGGGAGCAGAGACAAACTCTAAAACTATAAGACAGCACAGCCATGTCCTTAAAACAAACAAGCAAAAGCACAGAAAGAGGAGAAAACAGCTACCCGGCAGAATACATCAGTTATAAAATATGTGTCATCCAACAGAAGACAGGAAGCAGTAAAGTATTTGCTTTGCTCACTGACAATGCCGGGAACATGAAAACAGCGCCAAGAATCACAAATGAATAAAAACCCACATATTACAAGAGGATGGGCATTTCATGTTGGATACTTGCTTCTTAAGATTACAAAGTTTTTTTTTTCTGCTGAGGAAGACCGGCTCTGAGCTAACATCTATTGCCAATCCTCCTCCTTTTTTTCCCCAAAGCCCCAGTAGATAGTTGTATGTCATAGTTGCACATCCTTCTAGTTGCTGTATGTGGGACGCCGCCTCAGCATGGCCGGACAAGTGGTGCGTCAGTGCGCGCCCGGGATCCGAACCCGGGCCGCCAGTAGAGGAGTGCGCACACACAAGTCATGGGGCCGGCCCAAGATTACAAAGTTTTAAAGATGGAAGAGCTTTTGAGATGATCAGTCTAACTTCCTTGTTTTAAAGTTGAGAAAAAGGAGGCACTTTCCTGTGGCTACACAGCTAGTAAATGATAGAGCCAAAGTTTGAAGCTATGTCTGTAACACACTGCCTTTTAATGATAACATGCAGCCAGATACTCCCCAAAAGAGCCAAAGAAAAGGAAAAGAAGTCATCCAACAAGCAAAATCTCATATCGTCACTCCTGTCATTAAGCTGAGGCAGGAGAAACAGGACACAAAGAATAAAATACTGACACTGCGAGTCTGTAGTAAAACTCCATGGGTTGGAGTATTAATATCCTTTGAGAGTTTTCTAAAAAATGAAGAGGCTCTTCAAGAAACAGCAGTCATTGAGAATCTTAAAGTACCCAGAAGTGTTAGAAGCACTGTACTTGATGAGGATGTCTTCTCAGTTCAACTGCAGAAGTCCCTGAAGACTCTAAAGCCAATTTCTACAGCAATCACTGCATCTG